AATAATACTATTTGATATTAAATATTAATTTACGTAACACTAACAAAATATAATAATTTAATGTTAATTTTCTGAATATCTAAATTAATGTTCAATTTTCTGAAAGGACAATTCATTAAATTATTAGAACAGCAAAATATCATTTAGTTATGTTTATTATATTTAATTATTTCATATGTCAGTTAATTAATAGTAGCATTTTCTTATATTTTGAATATGACTGTTTTGGAAGAAGATACATTTAATTTCTGATGTTAATATATTTGTTATATTTAATCAGAATTTAAAGACTATATAAGATAGTGGCCTAAAATGTGTAATTGTATTTGATTTTACAATCATTTATTTTTACTTTATGATATTGGTATCATAATTGATTCAAAAATCTTCTAATGAAATTTAACAAGAGTAATATTAGAATATAAATTAATAGAATGAAGTAACGTATATATATATACATTATTATAAAATTCCTTCATTTTTACTGCTCTTCAGTAACAAGTATCTAAAAATGAATTTAATATAGCTATATACAAAATCCAATGTACAATATACGAATATAAAGCTTAAATTTCCTAAATGAAATGAAACTAAATTAAATTCAATTAATTAATTCAATTAATTCCATTAAATATCAATGAACATTTGAGCTAATTTCATTACGAGAGTCTTGTTTGATAAATAATTTCTGTAACAAAAGAAACTGATTATTAATTATTCTGTACAATTGTTCTCTATTGTATCTCGAATTTAATTAAAATAACGTGAAAAATCTTCATTCCAATTACCATGCACGTGCTTCGCTTCACTGAAACAATAAACAGAGCTCTTACGTGGGGAATTGGGTAATTCTACCTATTACACGTCCATCTATTAAATTCGTACTGAATGCAATTGCTCTCCATTTCCTATTAATACCGTATTCACATCCAACCTAAAGCTTTCTGTTCCCAGAAAATAACTAAACAGTCGATCGAAAGAGTAAACAGCTTTTCGCATTTAGAGTCGAAAGAAAAATCAAAATTCACCAAAATCGACAAATACGTTGTTCTATATACACTGTTTAACATTAATACATTATAATACTGTAGAGACTAAGGTGTGGTGGTAAATATAATAACTATTTATTTAATAATAAAGTAATAATGGATTAAATTAACAATATGTGGGTGACGATTAAGCATACGAATTTATATCAACTACAACTTAAGACTACAACTCAACTCTACAACACAATGACAACTCAGCCAGTTACAACTAATAGCTCACAACTAAGATACAACTAAGCAACTAACAACTAATAACCCCTCTCTACACAATTCTGTTCTGATCATTCCTAAGTCTCCTCCTAAGACTCTCTTCCAATCACTTTTCCCAAGAACTGTTCACTAACCACTTTTGCCTTCTTTTATATCTTCCCCAAAAGTCTCCCCTAACATGACCAAATATGGTCATGCTAAGGGCCTGACGCATCGCCGGGGTTTTTCCAACCGACCTGGCCCTCGAACCCTCGGTGACTTTCTAAGCTAAAGTTACCTATACACGAGGTGAAAATCCTACGATACTACGATACCTTCAATAACTATTATACTTATAAATTTCCAACCAACAATCAATCAAGTAACTCGAAATATCCAAATACTCCGTCTAAATTCATATTTTTCCTTTCGAATGCGAAAGGGAAAAAAGTTACTAAAGTTTACTAAAAATTAGCTAATTAGGAGTACTATTTAAAACTATCTAAAAAGAGAAAAGATACGAACGTACATACGTCACTCGACTTGAATCTTGAAAAAGATTTGCACGTGCCAGTGAAGCTCTATTATATTTTAACAACGAAGAATGAGGCGTTGGGAATTTCCATGTATCCAACTTCCGTGTGCATACACGTAGAAGCACGTATATTCTTTCCACGTGCAAATCATACATATACATCGTCATTCCGCTAGATTGCTCTAATGAAACTGGCTCCGGGTGTATATGTACATTCAAGCCGTATGAATATTGCGCAGCCAGATCTGTCGTGATTTAATTCCCCTCTCGTTATTTCAATTATCGATGCGTCGATAATGGAAAATCCAATTAAATGATATTCCAATAACCGATAAATAAACTTTCGCGGCGATAAAACCTGGTTAAATGAGTGAGCCTCCGTAACTAAACATTCGCACGGGGCGTGTTTCACCATGCGAAGCTGATCCGAACGATTTTCGATCGATCAAAAATCCCATGAAAAATCTAGCGAAACACTCGCCAAGCGTTGAAAAAGAAAGTAAAAAAAGCATCGAAAAAAGGGTATCGAGGACTGTTGTTAACACGTGCTAATTGTTAATTAACACGCTTCGTGTCTCTCATGGCTCACGATAATCGACACACGTGAAACTTCCCTTGGGTGAACAAAAATATCCTTTGTAGAACGTAAATAGGAAAAAGTAATTTCATGGAATTATGAATTTTGAAGATATACATGAAATATTAAGATGAGGAATCAGAGAATGTATATGTACATTTTGGTAATATTAATTGTTTCAATTAGAATTATGGCTAGGGAATAATCTTAGGACTACATACTTCCTTTTCTGATGTAGTATAACGTCAATGATGTGAACTAATAGATTTTGAAATATTTGGAATATTTTTTTTTTTTCAGTGAGTTTCAAATATTCGCAAATTTTATTTATCGATTTTCCATTAAAAAGCTATCCAATAGGGGAAAAATTAAGTTTTATAGAATTTTATTGGAACGAGTTTAAAAATTCCATAAAATATCACGAAAATGGTATTAACCTTATAATACCAATAACCTTAAAAACACAACAGAAAGTAGAATTTTGTTAATTTTAACCTAACCTATTACAAACGCTATCGGATAAAACTCCATTACAAAAATGTATTATTTATTAACGATATTTCTACAATTGTCCATTTAATTCCAAATACTTTACATGTGGTTTATATTCCGTCACTTCTAGTAACAGCACACGCCAAGGTAGATTCATCAATCACCCCTTTCCAGAAAACGTATAATTTCGGGGAAACAAAATTTTGCTTTCACATATTGTAAAAAGGGAAAAATTTAACACATAAAATTACCTTATCTATAAATCATTCGCGAACGAAAATTTTGCCACGGGTTCGCCATTACTGGCCTAGAAAGCAAAGAAACATTATTGGGACATGTCTCGTGATGCACAACGAATGGCATATCGATTCCCGAGTGAAATTTAATTACAATTACATATACAACGAACCTATCGATCGTTCGATTATTTTCTATTTAAGTACATCGATTTAATAACCGAGAACCTACCGTGCCACAGTTTCTCTAATCGAATATCCCGACGTAACTTTTCCACTGGAACTTCGTAAGTTCCTCTGCCATGTTTATTTTTCCCAGGGCACGTAACGCGTTAACTTCAGCGCGGCTCGACGCGCCATCTGGCGAGACGAATTTATTAGTAGGCGATATATTCACCGCAAACGATGCAGCGTCATGGCGGATAGGATGGCCAGCAAGTATCCCATCTTGTTACGTGGAATCGTTGGGAAACCATTGGCTAGGAAACGATCGGTTATACGCAGCCTTTAATGCCATTAGCCCCTTTATACGATAGCTATCGTTATTCGATGCGGTGGATGGATGGTGATGTCAGCATTCCATCACCCCATACCATGATATCCAGACGAGAACCTATCGATAGTAGTACTTCCCTACCTATACGTCACGGCCGTGCGTTTACGAATATCAAGATCCACTGCATCGATTTGTTTGCCTCCGCGTTCCACCCTTTTACCACGCGTTGCCCGGCTCTTGATTTACAAACCGTTTCAAACGAACGATGCTGTTCAAGGGAACGTCGAAGGCTCCCCCCTGGCTCCAATCGTGCGTCGTATTGTACGAACGTTTAGATGGCCTGTGAGAGATGTGCCTGTGTCTATAGTTAATCCTGTATAACGTCGCGTGACTTGAGGAAGGGAGGATGGTTAACCGAGTTCTGAAGCTTCGAACCAATTGTTTTCACTGGGTAGGTCAGTGGAGTAAAATCTCGACGTCTGTCCTGGTCTTTTATCTACAGCAATGGGGATTCGACTCGTCTGTTTCGAGCGATTTGGTGAACTTCGTTCCGGGATTAAGGTCGGGAAATAAAAGACGTTCTTTTGGATGGGTTCAATGAGTCATTGATACGATTATTTGAGAAAAGTTGGGGGTATAAAAAGGGTGGATTCGAGATTTTTATTTTTTCTTGGAATATTTATCAGTTACTGAGATATTAATCAATATTTTTCGATGATGTCGTGTATTGAATTTTATATTTGGACGTGTGTATTTGTGAGACCTAGTAATATTGGAAATGCATACTTTACACTTCAATGTATTATATATCGAAAGCTGAAATTTTATATTTTCGATTCAATCTCTGTTTTTATTCACCATCTTCAAATTTCGCATTGATTAACTACCGATGCTTCTCAGAAGTGTAATCAGAATAGGTGGGAATAGTGTAACTTAGTGTGTCATAATTAGGTTTTGAAGGTAATATCAGAAATTTTTGTTTCTATATTTTTCAAGTATTATTATATTTTACTCTTATTATTTTGCTATTTTACTATTATAATAAATAATCACTGATTCATTTTATTCGTTCTTTTCCAGTTCCACCTACTTCCTGGGACAACGACACGGATTCAACGGCCAACTGAATGACACGACGAAACATTTCACTTACTTTGCACCACGTGATTATGCCTGGAACGTAGCAGCTGTCAGTTCCCCGTCTACTTCGAAAAAGATCTTTATGCCCGAATTTAGCTATCACGTAGGTATTCGTAAACAGCAACAATAACTAAATCAATCCTTACAGTGAATTAGAACAATAATTATTGTCATCTATCCATCATTGTATTATAAAATTTCAATGCAACAAATATACATTTCTGATCTGAGGATTAGATGTTTTACACGAGGATTAGAGGTTTCAATCTCATGGCTAGGAAATCCCATGCTATGGAACCTTTAAGTTCAGAAATCGTTCCAAGGTTTTAAAGCATAGCTGAAACTTCTAATTTCACAGTTAGGGAAGTTAGGGAGTTAGGAAACCATTCAATCTCTAATTTCACAAATTATTCCAAGCAAACTTAAAATTTTTAATCTCGTATCTGGAAGAACCTGTAATTGACGGTTTAATTTTTCGAATTGTAACCTGTCGATGAATTTCCAGACGAAACAAATCCTGGAACGACATCTGGTGATAGCCGACGAGGCGTACACGATGGCCAAGCTAAAGGAGATGAAGCACAACGACACCATCATCCTTCCTGCAGCCAGAGACAGCCTGAAGCTTCGTGTCCGGGAGTACAGCGAAAGTAAGTGAAAGATCTGCCTGTTGTTCCAAAATGATCGTTTGCATAAGCACTCTTGCAATTACCCAGATATTCTCAGATACACTCAACGTTTGTTTCAAATTACTGTCAGTATTAAACGTAAATGTGTTCGGGTGTATCGTTTTATTGTTGCTCTTCTCGAACGGACAAGAGATGCGAAAATAGAAGCTTCCTGTACCGTGGCCCCGGTATAATGGGGCTTTGTCTGTTCATTCTCAAACCTGGTGCTATTTGGTTACATTTAGATGACAAGTACGACGAAAACATGATCCGACCAGAAACTTTCGGTGAGTGAGTTCAGTGTTTAGACGTCGCCGATGAGCGACGACACGTGCTTTCACCAGTACGAGCTCTGCGCACTTTGTCAATTTGTGAAGGGTTCTTCCGCACTTTCACGCACCGTGTTCAACGCGCGTACACTCGACTGCGTGTATTTTCAAGGAAAAGAGATTCTGCGAGAACTTGGAAAATTCTATGAAAACTTTGAATTATTCTATCCACCGATCTTTCTCTTTTTTTCTCCTTTTTCTTTTTATCACACGACCAGTGGATCAACGCGAGGATCAAGCGATACGATACTCTGCCAAACGTTTCTGGCGACTGTTCTCTACTGCGAACGAATTAGTTTCGTTGTCCAAATTTTGACGAATACTCTTGTGGAAATTCTCGTTGAAATTTTCTGTCTCCACGTTATACTTACGGATGGGTCTATAGTTTAAAGTATTTTAACATACGCACGTTCCTCGTTTCTCGATAGTGGTACACCGACACTCTTAACAAAAGTATCTACACGAATACCACGTGACAAAGGAACACACGAAACGAGTTCTTGGTAGTTGACATACGCAAAATTTTGACACGAGGCGTTCGAGAGATCGTTTGATCACGTGTCCTCGTTCGCACTGATACTTACACGTTTCTTTTATCTTGCGGCTGCCTTCGAGTCTGATCAAGTACGCGCGTTTCATGCAGTCTCAGTGCTTGAAAGAATGCTTTTTCTGTTCTATTTTGATACTCTGGTTACGTAGATCGCGCTTTATTACACGATTGTTCGCGTTGCTGTCTGCTTATTGGGCGTAAGCGTGCACGATAAGTAATATTTCTGTCTTTCTCGAGCTGGATTCGAAAGAATCGGATTGTTCAGCGGCGTAGATAGACACGCAGCTCTTCATCTTCCTCCTCGTATCCTTCTGGCTTTGTTCCTTTGTTTTCCGCGGGGTGGCAAGACGGCTGAACTCGTCCACTTGTCGATAATGCTCGCTGTGTTATGATCAAATGGTAATTCGCTGGCAGGCTGCTAGTTATTTTATCTGCCTGACTTTCGCCGATGAGTTTCCATATCCGAATGAAAAGTCGATGTCGAAGTTACGTCGTGGAGTTGATTTTGAAATTCCAAATGGGAAGATTGCACGAGAAAATTGTGCAATATTATAAATGGATGTGTGATGTAGCGGATATGCGTTATAAAAGCTTGTGTTAATTCCATTTTTAATATTTGAAATAAAGGAAAGAGCGTGCGGATATGGAAGTTCATCAGCAGAAGCTGGAAAAAGTAATTTTTCTACGTTTTGTACAGTTCTACATTTCATGCTGAAAATTCCTAAAAATAACACAGTAGTTGGATGGAATACCTAACTTTAGAGCATTTTATATCGTTTTCTTTTTTTCAAGCATTGTAGAAAATTATAAATCTAAGTATTAATTTTGTTATATTAAATTTTACTATATTTTTATTAGTTACTGAGTTTTGTATTACCGATAGAAGCTCGGTAGATTACAAAATTTTCCAAAAAACGGAAAAGAAGAGGAAAATAGCGAAAGGAATTAAGCCATTAACTTCTCTGATATTTTTTAAAAAGACACGTGGTTTATTTGCAAATTAAAAAATTATTTCAAATACTGAAGTTCGGTATTTCATTCGATCACGATTTTTATTACGCGCTAAAAGCTCGATTTCATTCAATTTTTTCCTGTTTAATTGTCGTCACGTGATCATTCACCAAAAGCAAATTCGTTGTCTCAAGATCGAATTAATGAACGATTAAGGTGCTGAGTTTTACAGATTTCGCCGTGTATCGTAACACTTAATTATTTGAACGATTGTACGGTGAGTATCCTTATGATTTTGCAAGAAAACGACCGACATACGCCGTACATGCTGCTTGCTGTTCGCTTGACTCGACTGCCATAAGCTTGTTAGAGTAAGACGCAGGTCCCGTTTCCGACGTGTACGCGACTGAGTGTGACATGCAGTCGAACTCATCGTTAACGTTATCTTTCATTCTTCTTGGACATCCTTCTTATTGCTAATAAATATTTTCCTCTGAGAAATCACTCAAATTCGTAATTCAAATTCGTACACATGTTCAAATCGAATTTTCTGTTTCACGTACTGTACCATCTTTCTACATTCCACGTGTGATCAAGCATTCTATACAACTAATTAAACACCATGAATGATCAATCATACTTCATTAATGCTCTACCTTTTACATTCTATTTTCTAATTTCAAGCAAAGCCACGATGAATGCGGAATTTTGAATGCAAAATTTAAAAATAATTATAGCTAATG